TTCGTCATTTCCCAGACGAAACAACGTAAGTCCATTCCAAGATTGCAAAATTGACTCAGACACTTGAATTTTTCACAAAAATGTACCTACCTGCGTAATATTCGTTGAAAATGTTTCTGATTTTTGATCACAAGAAAAATCAGCGTAATTTTCAGTTGGAACTTCCCAAGATTCTCCTAGTAAAACAGCAACTAGCGCAAGGAAATTTGGCAACATTGAAAAGTAGTTACGTTCCTTTGTTCGAGTAACGACGTCTTGTCGCGGTCGATGCGAAGGAGTGATAACGCCACGATTGCTTCCTTGAAAACTCAACACCCCTCGATGACGAGCAAACCATCATCGTTGTTTTCTCCGTGAGCACCATCATTATTAAATGCACCGGGGGGGTGAAGATGCAAATCGCCTTCATTTCTCCCTGCGGTCAAAGCCACAGCGGGGAGGTTCAAATGGACTGCATTTTGCAATTTGGAACTATGAATTCTGGCTCATCTGAAAAAAGTGCATGGGGAAACGAATGGCACATACGTTGTTTTTAAACCGTGCCAGAATTTATAGTTCCAAATTGCAAAATGCAGTCCAATTAGTCCTCTATTCGCACAATTCCCGAACGCGACACTTGGCCATGTTGTGCGTTTGTTACGTGGGACTATAGTCCCACGTAATACTCTATAGAGTATCTCAATTTGAAGTTCCTTTATCGAAGGAGAATTGCCATTGGTGGATCCACTTCTGATTATGGCTCGGATTGACTCGGCCATCCTTGGCTTCGTGGAGCTCCAGTGGCGTGGCGTGCTTTGCGATATATCGATTGATCTGCCCTTTAAACCTATAAAAAGAGATTGACAGATAGGGTGTTCGCAACGAACACCTTAATAATCGATTCTTTACCACAGCTTCAAATGGGAAAATATAGATTCACGCCGCACCACTATGTAGAGCTCTTAACCCTCTACGGCTCAATTTTACCGATTCGTAATAACGCATGTTTTTATTTACTTTTTCTCCCTTTTTTTAAAAAAAAATATTATTCGGTAGAATGATGTGACAGATTATTAATGTTCTCTTTTTTGGAAACATTACCATCGAGATTTTGACATTTTAAGGGAACCATTGGGGACTCTGTGTTTTTATGAAATCTGCGGCAAAAATTTGCTTTCCCAAAATCCGAAGTCCAAAATTAATTCATGCCATAGAGGAGTAAGGTGATGATTTAAAAAAAAAAATCGAACGTTGCATGCAGATTATTCAAGATTGCAAATAATGCAATTTTATTTGCTTCCATCACCGCGAATTTAAACTATACAGTAAGATGTAGTCTATTTTCAAAATTTCTTTTAGCCTACTATTTTCAAAACCAGTTTCGTGCGATAGTTTTGATAATAAATGTAATCAGAACCTCTAATTCGGCCCGGTTGACAACAGGAGCGGGAGGAGACACATTTCTGAGGTTAGCAACATCCCTTTCTCACCCCTTCCCACTTCGAGTCGCCGCCATTATTTTCTTCATCCTAAGGATCTCCACACGACCCAACTCTGCAATCATACTCATTCTAAATTGGTACCCTACTTCAATAGGAAGAGTATGGAAAACTCTTTAATCCTAAAAATCCATTGGGAGTTCACCGGCACCTCTGCGAATAAAGGTGGGGCCCGAACGGGCGGCCAACCTCATTTTAAAATCGACAGCTGTTTTTGAGCATAAATCGACGTGTTAATTTAATCAAAATAAGGTCACATAATCCATTTTTCACAGCATTTACACATGTTTCGATGGTATCAAGAAACACATTGTTATCTGTTATCTCCAACTGCAAGGGTGTACAACAACGGCAATCTTCTGAGTTTTCAATGTGAATATTAAGTTGACAAATATGATTTTTTTCATCCCGAGTGAGATGATTCGCTGCTATTTTTGGCACTAGAAGCCTCATGAAATGACATGCCCATACACGAATTTTCTAACTAGGTAATCTGGTTGAGACTCATACATCTGCGTTTACAAGAAAGAAACCAAGTCACATTCTCACATATGAAAATTGAGCAACGGGTGATTTTGGGCTCGGCGAATGGCTCATGTCAATACATTCTTGTTCATATGAAAGATGAACAGGCAAAAATTATAATTTAAGTCATTGAACCATTTTTCTACATTAGATGATCAATCAATGATTGAACACATTGATCGGGTCAAGTTTTCTCCGTCGTTCATAATAATCCGAGATTTAATCTTTCAAACTCACGCTTTTATGAAAGTCATGCCAGCTTGATTAGAAAAAAACATTCATTCGAAAGTTCGTTGAAGCTTAAAGATCGGATGAAGCGTTATCTATTCCCAACGTTGCAATACGGCAACATAAAACTATCTGAAGCACTGCCGAGCTAAGCAAGAACGCCGTATGAACCTTCAGACGTTGCCAAATTTGCTTCGATTAAATAAGATTTTATTTAAACGAAAGTTATTAATATTTTTCCTCAAATTTTTCATACAATTTTTCCCGCAATTTCATCTAGAACATCTAGAAATTTCAAGGAAAATATGCTGAACTTTCCTCAAAAATACGTGTTTGATCTGAGGAAAGTTGGCAACTCTCGAATGATCATATAACGTTCTTCTTCAGCATGGCAGAGTAGGTCTATTTGGAATCAAATACTGGCGACGCCGTAAGGATAGTTTACTCATTTACACCGTTCGTGAAAATTGTTCTAGCATCAATGCCAAAAAGACAAAATATTAGGCTAAAGTATCGTATCCTATCGTTAAGGGAATACAGATTTGAGATGATGGACCTATTACAAACTTCAGCTGGAGTCAAAAGATGAGGAGTTGTTTCTTACAAAAACTGCTCAAAAATCACGATAAGTGCATCGGGAAAGTCTAAAAATACACTCTTAATTTCACAATCTACAAACGAAATATGCGTTTTCCCAGCCTCCCGCTTTAAAAACGATCCTAGGGCAACGAAGAACATGTTTTAAAAGGAGTCCTTCCATTCAATCCTTGCGCACTAGGATGCTGCGCAATATCCAATATGATCGACGCTTTCGCGCGCAAATCGTGAGGTTGCACCATGGTGCTTATCAACGCAAGAAAAATTTGGAGACAAACAGGGCGATTGATAAAATCCCATCCCATCGCGTGTATTTTAGAGGGTTGGCGAAGGCTATGTTGAATAGTGTGTAGCATCTCAATACGCAAGGATTGGACAGAACAAGTTCTCTTACGAAATGTTCAGTTCACTTGTGTCATAATATCATGTTTGAAGCCGAAAACTTGAGAAATGCACATTAGCTGCGTAGACTGTGAAGTTAGAAGTGCATTTCTGACTATTCCTGTGCGCTAATCGTGATTTTTTTAAAAGAAAAAACTCTTTTTATAACTCTGGCTAAAGTTTGCAACAGGCTCATTGATTATTTTAAAAAAACATTCACCAAACTTGGAATGGCTAATGCATGTAGCGATTGCTTTCGCATTGGGTTTTCTGAAGTCGAGCAAAATTTTAATCCGCTCGGAGGTTTTCATTTGGTTACTCGCTATAAACAATGTTATTCTTATTTTTATTTCCATTTTTTCATAACACTTGGAGGTTTGCCATCTCTCATCGGCAAAGGAGCGGAAGATGAGAAATCTCGACAAAAGATTCCCCGCTTGAGAGCGATTTGAAATTATGCAAAGTTTAAGATACACAACAATGAGAAAATCGCGGGATATTTTCACGGCGAGAAGTTCCCAGTTTAGAAGTATGAAAGTACACTTCCTCGTTTAGGTTCCCGTGGTGTATGATTAATGTCGGGTTTTTTCTGGTGTTGAGTCATTCACTCCGGTGAAGTCGTTTCGTTTAGAGACTAGACGACCGTCGCTTGAGAGGATTTTACCAAATTACATTCGGTTCAGATGACCAATTTTGTGTAGACAAATTCACCAGGAAATTTGGAAAAGGAAAACTTTGACAGATATTCGTCAATAAAGTTTGCGTCTCGAAAGTTTCATAGTCATCCAAATTATGTGAAGAAATGTTATTTTTCCTTACACCATGGCCATAGTTTAGGAATGAACCCCTCATCTAGAGGTAAAAAAAAAAGATTGGTAAGAGTAAGAAGCTTTGTTTAGAGTTTTATCAAGTGCTTAGAAAGAAATGACGCTCAAAACTATTTTTAAGGTTACAAGAAAAAATTAATTTTCAAAATAGAAAAAAATAATTCATTGATCAGGGGTAACTATAGAATTTCTAGTTCTAAATATAATCCAAATTGCTAAAGGCGGTCCATATTTAAATACAGCTTTCCTTTAAATAGACTCATTTTTGCAATATCTTCTGAGCATTCTTTACAATTGATTTAAACGAGCGAGATTTTTATATCACTGCACTTTTGTTTATTTTTCTATGCCCTCCAAGTTACATGACACGATAATTTGAGATTTTAAACCCATAAAAGATATTAGTTGATTTTTTAAATAAAACCAAATAGAAAAGTATCACTGTCTTCGAATATTTTTGTTTTATATAAACCATAGACGCAAATTCAATTCTTTGGTGTTCACGTAAAGACGTCAAAGGTAATTTGTTTTGCATTGCGTTGTAAATTAGGAAGAAAATGTAGACAAATTCGGTATTTTTTCCCCTCACCGCGGGATATGTGAAAGTTTTCTCATTCTTCATGGACAGACTTGAAAAAGTGGGCTGCCTCTACACCATCGATGTAAAGAGGAAAGAACCAGGGTTCCTTTTAAAACACTCTATGATGTACATTGTCGATCTATTTATAAGAAACATGGAATGCCGATAGTTGGATCTCCGCAGGACGCCCTGAGAATTAAGACTTATAAGCCGTGAAATTAGCTTTTCTAAATATGTTTCAATGACAGCTTCTCATAACTTTTTATTAAACCTATACCATCGCCTCAAGACGATACATAGCAGTTCACCATCGTCTAAGTCCACAAAAGGTCGGGTTTAAAAAACAAAATGGAAAACTACGTGGAGTTCAAGGTAAAAACTCACATAAAAAGACGGAGTTGCCACATTCTCACTTTCACTTCCTGTCATCATTGGATTCACAATCCGGGTGCTCCATTGTGGAATTCACTTCGGCACTTCTGTAACATTAAAATACAAACAGGTTACTTAGATGAGTTGAAAATCAGTAGACAAATTTTACTCAAGCAGAACAACTACGGTAATAGTATAAAAATCGCTCAACTCGCGCATTCATTTGGACAATGATACAAATGGCATTAGGCAGTGTAGGGCAGTGTAGAAGACTCCGTGCGCAGAAAAATTTTCATAAACATTTTGATTGGTCATCTCATCTGTTATTAACGTAAAAAGGAGAGGAAATTACGCAACGCTGGATGTAGTTAGGTTGACTATGGTTGATAGCGTCCATTTGTAAGTCCTAAAATGACGCCAGGGTGTGATGAATGTGGACGTTAGGTGATAATCTGTTTACATACGACTTTGATAAAATGCGTTGCCGTTATAAAAATCAAATCTTGAAAACAATGTTATCTGTTCACACCCCGCAAGCACGTAATAAACGCCGTAATGCTCGTAAAGTGTTAAGCAGCATTATATACAGGGGGCCATTAATTTTTTTATCTCTTGAAATAGCTTCGAGAGCAGCACGAGGACTTTAATATGATAATTCATAGCTCGTCAACAAACCATGAAGGGTGTGCATTAACAACTTTCCATGGTTGCCGTTGTGCGAAATATGAGTGACGATCCAGATTTGATTTGGACTCCGAGTGTGACACGACTTTAATTCACGCGTTGGCAACTGGGCCTATTTCACGTCAGTCAACCATTAGCAACGAGGACTTTTACTCGAGAAAGTTAAAGCTCGAATGGAGTTCCATTTAAGATCTCCTTTAAACCTAACTATGGCTAGAACTGACAGATTTACACATAGAATCCTCGAAGAAAAGACTGTATCGTTTTTTCTGTGGATACTCGATAAAATATAGAAGCTGAAAGTAGCTAAAGTCATTTCAAAAATTGAATAGGCGGAATAGAACGGGGAGAAAAAGGGGGGGAGCAGGGTGAACCCCATCGTGTTCTGTCTTCCGTCACGATAAATAGATATCCGTAGGGGTGCTCTACGTGTGATTAAGTTCAGAGTACGCAAGCTTCGATGATTCCGACGATAACTCTGTGTCAAAAATGTACATTCACCGGCGAACATGCATTAACATGGACCACAAATTTAATGCATTCTTTCCTTGCCCTATCTTTCAATTTTGTGTACGACCCTTTCGTGACCCCTACTTTTTGAATGTTTAAATTCTGTACTACACTATTTTGATCTCTCCTTTAAGGTGTGAATGACTCAAATGTTAAAAGCACCAAATAAATGTATCTACCAACCAACCATACTGCCGTGCTAAGCAAATCAAGATTTTCCTGCGTTTTTGGGAACTTAGCACTTTATAAAATACAAAATATTTTACCCATGCACCTCAAGTTCTTGATAGTATTTGCGAATGAATTCTGTAAAAACATTGGCCCGCGGTACACAACTTTTTCTGCTGTGATAGTTGCATAGTTTCCAAACAATTTAAAATGGCGTTTTTGCGTTGCATGGCAGCATGAGGGGCAAAAATGTCCAAGTGCGTGCGAGAGTTTCTCAGATTTTTGGTGTCGTCGGGGGATCTGAAGTGCCAGGAAACGGCAACGCGTCTTGTTATGTTTGATCTAGATTTTGGATCCGCGCTCGCGGTCGAGGAGTCTGGCGATGGGATAATGGGGGCTAAAAGGATGATGGAATAACAGGACACCGCACAGTCCTGCGCAGCGCAGCTGCTTCGCGTCAAAAATCCCTGTTTGCGCTCCTGTCTCTAACGAGAGCCGCAAGCAGCGCCCTGTTGTTTCTTCTTTCTCTCATCATTATCTCCGAGGGTCCTTTGCCCCCTCGCTAACAGTTGAGCACTCCCTCTCTGTAATTCGACCACGCAGAATTGGATTTCCTCCTGGAATTTTCGCCAATGGGTAGCCCTGGAAGGGTCGTGGACCGGCTCTAAGAACCGGACCGACGAATCCATCTTGGACCTGCCCTAAGGAAATTTCGAATTGCCCCCCTCTTCATGCGTAATTTTTCCAACTTTTATCATTAAAAGAGAAATTTTCAAGCGATCTCCTGTGAAAGACATCACTTGGCATTTAAGCTCTTGCTTCCTGCATTAAGGGTTGAGACTGTCATTTATATTAGGAATTTGTTTAAACAAACTCTACCCATGGCCTAGCTGACGGTCCATGCCCCCCAGCCACCTACATTTTTTTTTTATCTCCAGGTAAAATTCGAGTATCTTACGTGACCTAGTCTATTGATTTTGCTAACCGAAGAGCGATTTTAATTGAAACTTGCGCAGATTTTCAACGCGTAATTTGAGCTTTAATTTACAATTCAGACAATTTGAGCTCAATTTGAGTTTTTTTATTTACTAACGGTGCACTAATGAATTTACAGCATATCCATCCATCTTACGTACCCCTTTTCCCATAAAGATTTCTTGATAAGCTAATATTTCAGCAGGATTTAAACGAACTTCATTTGGTTTTCCCAAAAAAAAAACTGCGACCTACTTAAAAATTAGTCATCAGCCTACAGAATAAAAAGTGGATCAAATCGATGGAAATCCATGGCGCCAGCTCTCACAAATTGAGACCTCTGAGCACGGAGAAAAAAACTTTGTTTATAGGACCCGAAGTTGAGGTCATGTGGATCTCTGAAATTTTCTGATCACGCATCCGAAAACTTGAGGTCGAGCTGCCGAAGTTCGAGTCAGACAGCGAGGCACTTCGGTATGTACCGGAGTACTTCAGATGTATGACCCAAACACTTCGGTATATATCGAAGCACTTCAGATGTCCGACCCGAAATTCGGCAGCTGGACCTCAAGTTTTTAGATACGTGATCCGAAAACTTCAGAGATCCATATGACTTCAACTTCGGGTCCCACGCACGAAGATTTTTCTCCGTGAGGATGGGGAGGAAAACAAGAATACACAAGTTCGGCAGGAAACTTTCTCTATGATGCGATGTCTCGGAGTAGCCTGCAATTTCGGTCGATTTAACACAAGACTGTGTTGAGCAACCAAGCCCTCTGGGTGGATCTGACACAAAAAAGTAACACAAAGTAACACAGAGTGACATCAAACCCGGAAATTTTTACCTGTGTAAGAGTGCGTAAATACGAGTTGCTTTGGGGCGGCAACAGGCGGATGTGCTTTTCCTGAGCGTGCGTTTCATGATAAAATCATGGGACTGGAGTTTCAACGGCACAGCTCGGCGCGCGGTTTCATTCCGGGAGAGGGAGTCGTAAAGGGCTCGAGGGTTGAGGATCTTGTCGCTGTATTTTTGGATCTTGTTTTGAGAGCATCCGCGTTAGCGCCCGGCCCGTCCCATCCGACGCGCCATTCGCGCGCACATAATTACAAAGTTGCTAATTATTTTAAAGTCGGAAACTTGTTGAATGCTCAGTGAAAGTATCCACCTTGCGTTAATTTGTAAAGTTGAAAGTTTACTCCGCAAAAAGCTCTTGTAAAACCGACCCCTCGGCGCGTGATACATGGGAAACTTTCAGATGAGCTGATATGGTACTGTGTCTTTTCCGTGGAAATCACCGCGGTGAATCACGAGCAGTTGCCAACTGGGTTCAACTTTGACCTCCAGTCGACTCACACTCGAGTCGTCCGTTTACATCGCTTATATACCTGAATTGGACGTATTTCTATCAAACGGAACTATGTGCACTAAGACATGAGCCCTGAGACCCATAAGAATATGCACATAACAGGGCTCACGTCATAATGCACATAGTTCCATTTGACAGAAATACGTCCAATTCTACAAGGCAGATAACTTAGGCAGTTCACGGTTAAAAATTTTCGGGTTCGGTGTTACTATGTATTACTTTTGCTGTGTCAGATCATCCCAATGAACTTGGTTGCTCAATACAATTTTGTGTTAAATGGACCCAACCCGGAGGTTACTCTGTGACAACGAATCATGAAAAAAGTGTCCTGCCGAACTTACGTACTCCAGTTTTGTTCCTCATACTCAAAGTCGCCACTTGCGAGTGGCTAGCGCAATGGATTTCCATCAATATGAAGCACGTTTGATCCTGGAGGCTAATGACTGATTTTATAGACTGATTTTAGACTAATCAGATGACATAATATGACGACAAAAAAAAGTCAAAATTGTTCGAACAGTCTGTCATTGTTTTGAGGAGTTTTTGGAGGATGCCTACTAAACCCCTGTTAATACATAATTTTTGCAACTATCACAGGAGCGGGCCTGTGTAACTTGCCTCGGGCGGTAAAAATTCAAATACGGTCATAGCACCACGCAACCGGAATGAAAATAATAGCTGAACTAGAGACTCGCTCACCCTTGGGCGCTCCACGCGACCTGCATTCCCGAATTAATATTTCATGTACCAATCGAATTGTGTCATCAATTTTTCCAACCTTACGTTTTTTGTGTTAATAATACTTTTCAAGAGCCGATACAATCATGAAAGCGGTGCAAAAACTCGTTTTGGGATCACGATAACCCTGAAACTAGAATCAATGTCACTTTCCTGGTTGCATCTAACTCTGAAAATTATTATCAACACACATAATCAGACGACTGAGAAAACTGACAATAATTAGCGGTTTTTAGACGATACAATGGGTCTGTTGTAAGCAAAAGATACAGCCAACTGAATATACTTCTTAAGGGAAAATTCGCTCAAAAATCGCGTTGGGCACAGCATCAAGGAAATCTGAAATCCACTTCATAGCGCTTAATCTGCTTAGTTTGTAACACGCTTCTTCAAGTTTCCCGCGTCTGCGGACAGTTAATTGTTGTAGTCTGTAGTCCGGTTTGCTCAGAGAAACAACTAACCTACATAAACAAACAATCTTGCAAACTGTTATAAACTCTCCTTGCGGAAGATTTCAATTGATTCCAAGCTTTTGTTTTTGCAGAATAAAGAAAGAGAAAGGAAACAAACGTTTGAAAGCAAATAAAATCATACAATACGAAAATTTAGTTAATCGTTTGTTTATATTGGATAGTTCTTCCTTACTCCTTTGC